ATTTAAAACTGCGGGGTGCTAATCTGTAGGACTGCTTTATTTGTAAGTTGTTAATACTGGAGGCTAAATTTCTTATCTATAGTACTAGCGCTTAGCATTCAATTCAGATTCATCTTAAAAGCAAAGATAAAACAACATATTTAGGTCCCCAAATAATGAGTTTGATTTTTTCCTCAGTGGTAAAACATCTCATTTCTAGGGATATATGGACAAGATGCAGTAATTAAGGCATTTTTTAAAATTAATCAAATTTTCTGTCAGTCATTTTTTTGTGTAAAATCCAATAGTTTCATCCCTATATTTTTACTGCCATCTTATAATTCTCATCGGCAAAGAGCTGAGTACTTTTGACTCTGTAATTAGAATTAATTATAAGATTCTCTGCAAAATAGAAAAGTCATTATTTCTTTGTTCATTCTGACTGCTCTGACCCTATGTTTGTTCGTACTGCAGTTGAATTATTCTTGGAAGGACGTGTCATTGGAAATCTTTTGTATTACTGCCAGATTATTAACCTTGTATTAGATACATTTATAGTCCTTAGATGATAAACAGACCTTGTTCTTCCTCCTGACCAAGTAGTTGATTAAGTAGATGATTTAATGATTGATTAAATGATTTCCTTCCTGACATGATGAGAAAGTATTTAAAGCCACACTGTCCTACTTGTAGCTACTTGCTCCCTCTATATAAAAACAATGCCTAATCGGTGACCATCGGTCTCCCATGATCCTCTTTTTCTTACGTTAATTGAGATCTGAGTTGATGAGATAACCATCTGTCCAGTGACCTTGCAGGGTGGTCTACTCCCTTCTATAAACTAGTACAGATAAGCTTTGAAGCAGATTTATACTAGATATCAAGATGCAACATTTAAAGGGTCTTGTAAGGTTGATCTATCCATGTAGAAATATTTTTGTTTTTTACAACTTGGTGATTTCCTGAAAATATCACAAGAAAATTGTAAAGAAAACACAAATTTGATATTCTATATTTGACACATCTTACCTCTTTCAAAACTTACCACCTTTAACATTTTGTTGAATTCCTTGTAGTTACCCTCAAACAATAATTCTGGAAGAAGAGCGTCTTAACCCTTTAGAAGCCACCACGCCCCCCACATTTTTAAAAACCATTCTATTGATAGCTTAAAGGTAATACAAAGTTTTGGTGAAATTGTAAATAATAAACACTTTATGTTGAATAGCTCCCTCTCAAGGTCAAGATATTAATTAAGCTATAAAACAATGTTTATTGACTAAAATCGACCGATTAGCTATTCTTGTTCGGAAATTATATACCACAACTACATACTCTGAGATTTTCATGGTCGCAGCTAACATTGTACGGCCGTAGGAGCTATTTGAAATTTATCAAAATTTACCGGGAGCACCGGTAAATCTTTATATTCAATATTTCTCAAAAGCAGAAGTGTTTTAGGGGTTAAAATTTCTGGTGTTTTTTATACATCAACAGGGGCATCCAAATATATCAAACTTGTTAAGAATCACTATCCACCCATTTTTCAAAATTTCCCAAGACTTTGTAATACCTTTAATATCTTGTTTTGAACTGTGTCCATGAAATGCTTCCTTACTAAGAAGTATGGAGTCATTCAGTTGTTGCCAAAAAATAACTTGAGAGAAGCTTATTTTTTAATGAAAGAGATAAAACAAAATTATATTACACGATCACAACTACCTTGGAAAAGTCAACTCAAGGGCAATTTCAATACCTTATTGTACTAGTATATTTGTAAAGCGCTTAGAGACATTTGTATTAAGCGCTATATAAAAGCTAAATATTATTATTATTGTATGTCCCATTGAAATTGTTACGTAAAAGTCATTGCAATGTTTGTCATTTCCAAAGGTAACATACAAGGCCATTGAAATTGCCTCATGAAGGTTCATTTTTCTAAAGTAGTTGCCATCATGTTATATCTATTTTCTTAAAAATGATGCATACCCTTCGCTTGCTCACAAGCATTACTTGCCCATTATCTAATTTACAAAAAACGCAAGAGTGTCCCCACGTTTGTCACCTTGCATGCCTATGTTTCATTAGATTACCTTTATAATTGTGAAGTGAGGGCTTAGGAGTGGAGGGGGTGGCACGCGCAGGATATAGGGATCATCCCTGCCAATCATATGACATCATAACGACGACCACACCCCTTTGTCCGATCATCCAACCTCCAATGCGTGCATGTATGCATCCATGGGGAGTGTTTTTTTTCTCGGTGTTTTTGTAGCCATGTGATGATTCTTCATTGGCAAGAAAAGAGAAAGGGAATTATAAGGAATTATGTTACCATTATTACCAATCATTGACCTTCTGTATGTAATGTATGCAGCAAAATCAGCACGATATGCAAGCTGAGAGGGAAAGTTTATTTTAAAAAGTGCTCCAGAAATTTTTAGATTAACAACATACACCAGAAAATCACTTTTTGTCATAGAATATCATATTTGAAAACTTTTCAACTAAAATGTGTAATAATGTTTTTTTGCTGAACAATCCATTATTTTTTTTAATAATCATTTCTTCTTTAGTTTATAAAATTTGTTGAAAAAAGCCTGTTAAAAAGCAGTGATGCAATGGTGTGACCAGCCCTTTGCTTTCAGAAAACATTTGGGTCCATTTTCATAAAACCTTACTACGCCTACTTGTTACTTCTGCAACACCTGGGCCCCCTTCTAAAGAGGCCTATGTAATAAGTTGACAACTAGCTTACTAATGTTTTATGAACATATGGGCCACGAAGTATAAAGCAGGTTCTCTTTATATGCTTCAATTTTATTCTATTGCACTTCTTAAATATCGTCTTATAAGTGCCAAAAGGTCAATACACCCTTCTGGCTCTCAGCAAATGATATGTATGTGGTAGTGAGATTGATTTTCAACTTTTTAGTTTCAGTTTATTCACTCATTCAAATAGAAACATTACAATTTTAGAAAATGGAGGAATAAGCAAGACCAACTGTCCCATCAAAGACCATGCCAAAGAAATCTGTAAGAAATCTAGAAAAAAACATCTGTACAGATCTCGAGTAGATATTAATTTACTAGGAAATTCATTAGTAGTCTTGCAACATTTATGTGGTGCAATTTTCACGATCAGTAATGAAAGCTTGTTTTCATGCCAACAGCTTGATGGAGACATATGATGAGCCTAATCCAAATGAATTTCAGAAGTTGCCAGCTTTTAATAGCACCCTCTTTCTGCAGTTTGGCCTTTCGTCGATGGCAGCCGATTTTGGGGTCTTTCTCCGCTAATATCGGTTTTCCTGTTGCAAATCCTCAATTGGGTGCTCGCTCTTTTCTCGGCTACATGAGTTCATTTAGCCCTAAATGGTGACCTATTGCTTGTGACACACACAAACAAACACACTCAATCACACACACTCACAAACAACCCGGGACTTTCTTGTACAGGAGGAACCTGTATACACATGTTTTGATGTAAACACACACAACGCACACCCTCGCACTCACCCACACCCACACCCTCGCCAGCTTCTGCATGCACCGAGTCATGTACAAGCTTGCTACATGTATCAACTTGTAGCCCCCTCTTCCAGCGAATCCCCTTGGCAGGCGAATGCGTGGACTTCTGGATGGAAGCCAAGAAAACTTTTTTGTCGAAGTAGACGAAACATTAATCGTACCCCAAGCAATGATGATGATGAAGATAGCAATACATTTATGATTATGTGGTCCTGTCCTGTCGTAATAGGGGTGGAAGTGGAAGGAATTTTGGATTTGGGTATTTAAATGTTAATTAGCGGTGATGAACCAGGATTGATGGATTTATTGTTGTTTGCGTGAGAAGGAACTTCAGGTGTCTAGTGTAAGTAGATTAATGGCTTTTTAATGTGTTGAAGTAGTGTTGTTGCTGCTGTTCACTGTGTGTTAATTCAGTTGTGGGAACGTTTTGATGATGTACTCTGATCGAGTCTTCGAACATTTTCTTGTGGTTTGTACTTCTCATACATTGTCCTTCAGTGCAAGAGCATATGACAGGATACTACCAAAATATTATGCTTTGTTATCCCAACTATCTTTCTTTTTTAATGGAAATATATGTAATTAAACAAATGCAATTGTATTTACTTATAGTTTGGTCTGTTAGTGAGGCAAGTAGTTTTAACCTAAAATATAATTATATTGTGATGATTTATTTTTCTTTCTTTATACTGATTTGTTATTATAGATTGAACTTCTAAATATTATTAGTAAAGTATAACAGTAGATTAGTTCATTTGGGATTTTAAATTCTGTAAGCTGAAACAAAAGAAGTGTTGTTTGTTGAGAATCGCTGTAGTGTCAACATGTACATGTCTGCTTGGTGATATTTCTTTTTCCCTGTTATTATTTTTTTTGTCATTTTAATTGAAATTAGTCTTTCTTTTTATCATTAGCTTGTGTTTATTAAAGGACTAATTTGTTATTTCTCAAACAATACCAATTTGTCAGTTATTTCCTCAATTCTTTGTGAAGGTTACTGTAAATTAAAATGAACACATTTGCTGAACACTTCAGTATGTTCATCATTTTATTTATTCTCTCATTTACTCATTCGGTTCATATTTCATGGCATATACAGTGTCCAAAAAAACTGAGTACAAAATTTAAATATTTTTATGTTACTTTTCTACAATACTGTATACAAATTACAAGCCTTAAAGCAATAATAGAGTTCTAATTCTGTGAGACATTTATAGGTATAACACATTCATTTCATGAAAACGGTGAAGCACACTAAAGAACTACATTGGAGTATTCATTGTTTTTTCAAAAGGGGGTACTCACTTTTGTTGAATACTGTATATTCTGTTTCCTTTGGAGAGAATGTAACTTTATTGAAACTGGGCAGACTTTAAGGAGATAACATGAACAAGTTTGTATCAAACACTTTTTTATTTTGGACTATGAAACTTCAAGAAAAAAAAATATATCTTTGACACTTTGTTCCTTTTTATTCTTTTATCTTACAGGTAGCATTAATTTCAGTGGAGATAACAACTCATTGGCCCCACCCTCACCTACTTTTAAAAACAGAAGCTCCTCCAGTGCCTCTTACAATGAGGATATGGACAGTGCAGTAAGTAGATTTTTTTAATACTAGTACTACAGTATGTTAAATTCTTATCTACAGCTTTATCATACTATTCCTACTACTACATTTTCTATTGCTACTCAGACTTGTTCTTTTTTTATTCCTATGAGCAACTACGACTTTTCAAACTACCACCACAAATAGTATTAGTTTTCAATGCGTATATAACTTTAATTCTATAGTACTGAAAATCATTAATATATTCTTTCTGCTTTGGAATGAACATTCAAATCTGTCTTGTCTCTCTCTCTCTCTCTCTCTCTTTTTTTGTTTTTTTGTTGGGGGGGGGGGGTGGGAATGATAGAGAAAATTTAACCTTAAAAAAAAATCATTCAGTAATATTCTGATGGAATACAATTTTCGACATCATGAAAAGAGATTTGTGTGATTTAGCTTTGGAACTAATTCATTTAATTTAAAGGAAATAAAATTCATCCTTCCTTCCCTGGCTGACAAATCGTATTCTAACATCCTTTACTCATACCTAACGCTGCACGTGTGCAGCTTCGGAACTTTCCTTTTTCACCACACATTTTGTCATCAGGCAATCATTCAGCTTACCCAATTTTCATCAATTTAGGAGAAAACCACCACCATTTCCCACTCCCCCTTCCCTCTTTGGAGTTGTGTGATGCTGTAAAGCTACGTCAGATTGTCGCTTCCTCCTCCAACCCCCCCCCCTTCCCGTCCCGTCCCTTCCCGTTTTCTAGGGGCTGAATGAAACGTGTAGTGATTTAGTGAGTAACTTCCACCTAAAGTCAAATTTTCTTTACGTTTAAGTTGTGGTGGGAAAATTCAATCAATCGTGCTGGTAATTCAGACATGGAGCCTAGCTGAAGAAGGAAGCCAACTGCTTAGTTTATTTTTCTCATTCTCCTCTCAAAAGAGTTTTCACTAGTTTTTTCAGTCATGGATGTGTGAATTCCGAATGCACTTTGCCAGGAAAGGGAAAATTGTGTGGACATATTGCTCTGCTTGATCTTGATGACTTTGGAGTTCCTTGTGTCTTTTTGAGATTTTTATGATGGGGAGAAGTAGTTGAAATAATGTTATTTTATTAAAATTGTACATGTGGCTGACGCTCAAAAAGAAATAGACATCTAGATGTAAAGGAGACGTATAATAAGTATGGTAGCTTTGAGAAAACTTTGCCACATCCAAAGTTTTGGCTCTAGTCAAGCATGTAGAACTCTCTGAGGACTAGGAACTCTCATGTTGGACCAAGAACTAATTGATGTGAGATCGTGTAAACATGGATTGTATGTACCTGGAACCCAGTTTGGAAAGGACGATACAGTTCTCTTGGTCTCGTTCTCATGGTAAAATGTCTGCCTTCATTTCATTCTCTCATGACACTGTAATGGGGAAATAGCGAGGAGCACCCAAGCAGATGTCGACCCCCCTTAGCTTTGGGAAGTTTGCTTTGAACCATTCTTCCATAGCGCCAGCACCACCCAAACCTCAAAGAATGACCAGTCCGCAGGAGGATGAGGTAACCAATTGTGAAGTGGTGGCCATCTTGGACCCAGCATGCATTGGTGTTTGTAGTAGATTCTTAGACTTTTGTGGGAATGTTTGATTTGTAGAAGTCTTGTGAGAATGCTTGATTTGTAGAAGTCTTTGTGCCTAGAAATCATCTTGAAATTTCTTATACATGTGTGTTTATCCATCCTTTGAACAGTTTGCCTCGATTTTTACTATGAGTCTTTTGTGTCTGTTAATCGTTCCTATTATTGAAGTGTTTATTAAGCTAGACCAGATAGATCTTTTGTTGATGGAGATTCCTTGTATATATGTTATGACCATGATTGCTCTTTTAAATTGTTGTATATTGTGTTGAAATCCTTGAAAAATATCATTTCAATTAGCAAAATTCTTCTCTCATAAATTTCTTTTGTAAGCCTCATATAAATTCTTTCTAGCTTCTTATTTATTGTTCCTTTTTTCTTTTAAAATGTCTTGAATTTTAGTACACTGTATGTGCTTCTTTACTTTAAAGTTGTAAATTTTTCTGATTGCTCTGTTTTTCTTATAATTTTCATTGATTGTTTAAATATGGATCACAAAGCATGTTGTTCTTTGTAGCTAGTTTTTTAGTTTGTTTGATAAATATGGTAATTGATGTTTCTTTTTCTTTTCTCTTCTGGATCAAATTGATGTAGGTAAATCAAAACAGTGTATGCCTTCTTGAGTTTTCTTTCTCTTTGTATCTCCCTCTCTTTCTGCCCTCTCTCCCATTCTCATTTTCTTCTTTATTTTGCATTGTCACTTGTTATTATTCTTCAACCTTTTCTTGACCCTTTCTTTCTTTCATCTTAAACTTGAATTCCTAATTTTATTAATATTTTATCCCCTCATTTCTTCTTGTCTGCTATCTTCATTATCTTGTTTTCGCTCTTGTCCACTTTTGTCTCAAATCTCTTCTTCATTTGTTGATCTCTTATTACCTTCTACATCTATCCATCCATTCCCTCTCCTGTGTAGATTGAGGCCCTTGTATTTGTGGAGCAACCCAATAGAACCCTCTACTGTCTGCTCTGCCGATCGGTTTTCCAGGACCCAGTCATTACTCAGTGTGGGGTAAGTACCGTCATTCTATTTTTCTTTCCCATTATTGTTTGTTTGTTTGTTTGTTTGTTTGTTACCTGACTGTTATGAAAGCATATACGTGCTTGTAAGTAAGCAGGCAGGGGACGTCTCCGAGGGACTTGGTAATGAGGATTAAAGCCATCGACTTGGGTTTCAAACCCAGGATCTCCGGTTACGCGACCACTGCACTACCACTGAGCCATCGCGCCTGACATATTTTATAGTAAACAAATAGAGTATTTGTAGGTTTTTTAAAAAGAGGTTTAAGAAAGGGGCAATTCCACGGTAACGGAAGGACACTCAGACAAGATTTTTGAACTTCAGGTTCATACTAAAAGAAATGTTTTATTAGTATGTATTAAACTATGGGGAACAAAATGTGTTTCAGTCAAGTGAAAAGCTTCATCAACTTCACAAAGTTTGGATAAACACTAATTAACTGGAAAAACCATGTCCATTTTTATGTCCTTCCGTTACCGAGATAATTAATATGCACATTCTTAAACTACTTAACTATAATGACAATTTTTGGGGGGAGAATTAAAGGCACTTATATAGGTATTATATCTGTACTGTTTCACATCTTATACTAATAAAACAGTTCTTTTAGTATGAACCTGAAGTTCAAAAATCTTGTCTGAGTGTCCTTCCGTTACCGTGGAATTGCCCAAAGTTAGAAAAATTAGATGAAAGTTATGAGAATGATTTGAAAGTTACAAAAGCAAGTTGAAGAATCATGCTGGTTCTTTCACTACCATGAATAAAGTATATTTTGAGAAATAGTGTATCAACACTTTCTAGTTTGTGTCCTCATTCACTGTTTTTACGAAATTCATGCATACAACACAAGTACCAACAAGGCTTTATGATAAATCTATATTATCCTTATTCTTTGGGGCCAGCTTTGACTAGCTTTAGCCATTTTGGGGCTTCATTACCAAATATATCTATGCTAAAGTACAATGTATTTGAACTGTTGGCAATAGATGAAATGAAAATGAAAATATATATGGTTGAAAGAAATGGTCACATTTTGATGATTCCGCAACTCTGAATGCAGAGGTTCCGGGATTATAAATGAATAGCCTCTGAAAGTTAGTCAGAGCCTGCAGGATGTCCCAGCCAGAGGTGGCTCATGGTTTTATGCCGGCTCTCTATCCTGCCAAAAATGTTCTTCATACGGTAAATCTCACTGCCGAGGAAATCGCAGGATTATATATGTTTACAAGTCCGATTTCCTTGAAATTCTATATCCTATAAACTGTAATTCAATTCAGATTTATATTCCTCTGTGAAGTACATTCACATTTCTACAATTGCACAAACAGTGTAATTTCCGTATGTGTGGTGGAATCAATTGTGAAAGAACTTTGAATGGCCTACATTTCCAAAAGTTTCCTACTTTTTTTGAAAAGGGAATATGTTTCATACATAGGAAATGCTTTCTTTGTTCTTTTGGGCTCACAGACAGATCTAATCTGATATTTTATTGTACTTCTACAATTTTATCAATTCATTAAATTCTGAATATCCATGTACATGTAGTTATAAATACGTAATGTACATGTACAGTAAATATTAGAATGTGACTTTGGTTACAAGTATTAGAAAAAAATCTTTTTCTTCATTCTCCTTATAAAAAGTTCTTGTCAGATAACTTTTCCCTGTATGTTTAAATTACAATTTCTTCAATGTTTTGAATATTGATGCATGTATGGGCAGGCTTTCTTTAATGTTAATATGACTTGAACTCATGTGAAATCTGCTTCCTAGCGCAATGAGCAAGCAAAAACTATGAACTGTTTCATTATAAAGTCAAGGTCAATTTCTTGAGGAGAGAGCACGGATGTAAATTGTGGTTTCTCAGAGTCGGAATGAAATTATAACACACAAGGTTCTTCAGTCCCACTTGGGTAAATTGGTGTAATGATCCAGCACGCAAGTCGGCCTTTTGCCATGAAAGAGAAAAACATTTATACGTGTGTTGTTGCTCATTGTGACCAATATAGATGAATTCTTATTCAAGATTTTAACCTCTTTTAAACCTCAAGCATATTTCTCGTCATGAATACGGCGGGCTTTTCTCCCTCTTGCGCCAAATTTACCCTCAAATGCACTTTGATGTGGAGTGTTGTATCAGTCATTGACGCCAGTCTATTCTTAGCGGGCATTGTTTTTCTGGAGAGGAAGTACTCTGTTTCTCTAATGATTTGTGGGAAGGCAGGTGAGACTGACCACAGGAGCAGAGACTCAATTTTCAGCCTGTAAGCGATCTTGGCAACATGTTCATGTCGCTTGTTATAAACATCAAGTTCAGATGCCACTGCCTGAAGCCGAGAGAGAGAGAGAGAGAGAGAGAGAGAGAGAGAGAGAGAGAGAGAGAAGGAAAGAGTGGGACAGGCATAGATAGATAGAAAGATGAGGAATAAGAAAGAGAGAGAGGGGGGGGGGGGGAAGGTAAACAGAGGTAGAGTTGAGGGAGAAAGATAGAGGCATGCAGAGAGGGCCGGGGCAGACAGACAGAGATGGAGAGAGAAGGGGGGGGGGGAGATAGGGGGGAGATAGAGAAGGGGGAAAGTAGAGGCTTAGAAAGGGAGAAGATAGAGAGTGGCAGACATAGATGAAGAGAGGATGAATAAGAAAGAGAGATGGGAGAGGGATAAACAGAGATAGGGAGAAGTGAGAATGAAAATGAGAGATATATAGAGAGACATAAGGAAGGAAGAAAGGTAGAGAGGGAGAAAAAATCAGAGTGATAGAGAGGAGGGAGAAAGATAGACGTTTAGAGAACGAAAGAAAATGGTAGACATATAGACAGGGAAAAGGAGGTAAAAGGATGAGGGGATGAAGGACTAGCATAGAGATATTGAGGAGGGAGAAAGAGAGAAAAGGGGGTATATGGAGAGAGAAAGAGAGAGAGAGGAAGCAGTTTGAATCTATTTTGGGTTAGCAGTTGATATGTTGGGCATGGGTTTAAACACTTGACCACCTCTTTAATCCTTTAAGATCATCCCATGATCTTGTACCTTCTAAATATATCCTGCACTGATAATCTGCAACTTAATGGGTGGTTGTGCTCAATTGAGGGTGATCAAGATTTTGGAAGGGGATTACCAACACTTTTTTTTTTTAAATTGCATGTCTAAAATTTGTGTATGAGGAAGAAACCACCCTCTTTTTTCAAGTTTGAGAAAGAAAAAAAAAACAGCAAACTCTGGCAAGTAACATATTAGGCAACTCCTCAAATGTCTTTCACCATCTTTTCTGTTTTTTTTGTTTGGCTTTGTTCAAAATGTTTCCTGACCTGGGTTTCGATAAACATCAGATGAAGCCACCTCATTTGAGGCAGATGTAATAAATAATCATCTCTCAGATGTGTCTCTGTTTTTGTTTTTGTTTTTGATCATGAAAACCTAGATTGAAGAGGCCCTGATGAATATTTTATCTTTTATCTAAGGCTTTTTTCGCAAACATCCAAGTCTCACACCCACTTCCGTCGAAGACATAAATGTACATCTCCCAGAATACTGTATCGCCTGGGGATACCGTAACTGTAACACAAGCTGAAGTGTGAAAGACCTCCGATTCGGTTTAACTGGCTCACCGAATATGATGGCAGCAAATAAACTTTATCGCTATCTCCAGAGACATATGTCTCATTGTATGTGCCGTCATTAGATGCAAACAATAGCCATATGTTCGGCATTGTTATGTAAAAGTTTTGGCAGAAAGAGAAAAAAGAGAGGCTCGTTATGAGCTGGGAAATGTGTAGTTAGCACGAGAATTTAAGTGAAGTTGACAGGAGGAAAAATGCACAAAAGATGAAAAGGAAATTTAATATTCAGCTCACGTTTTAGATGCTATGTCCAAGACGAGTGCTTCGGGCCTTTTTCCTTTTTTCTTATAGATGTGATGCACATGACTTTAGGTTTTATGATTGCCTTTTCCACAAGGAAAATGTTCAAAAGTTGATTCGCTTTTTATTCCACAGTTTTAAAATCTGTCATCTTGAATATATACAAGGAGGAAGGATATGAGATCATGATTGTTTTTATAAGAAATAAGGGTTATTGTTTTAAGAGTTAGTTAATATCAAAACTAGAAAGACTGGTATCTTAAAGTGGGATCTAACATTGATGGAGATTTAGTACAAAGGCTATGCAGAGAACTGTTCATTTAGCATTCAAATTATCAGAAAGGATCAGTGAAAGTTTCATTGTGTCATTTAAAGGCCGAACTTTTCCACACAAACTTTTTGAATTTGTTTTGAAGGCACCAATTCTTGTATTGACAATTTGATAAGTAGGGCTGCACCCTCTAACTGTTCTATTTACAGACATTTATGTCAACTTAAATATGTGAGGTAGCTCTTTTAAAGCCTTGGTTCTAAACCTCTTACCAGTGACCAAAGGCAAGAAACATCAAAAACATTTTTGTTAAACATTTGTTGTATGGACAACAATTTTAATTTTCAAAGGTAAAATGTGGTTGAAATGATTAATATTAGATTTGTGGAATTAACAAGTTTCAAACAGAAAACAGAATTTGAGAAAAGAGAAGGTTTTATTTATCATGAAGCACATAATATTCAGATTCAATCTTGGCTGCGGATTGATTGGTATAAATGAGGAAAAATTCTGATTTCGATGGTTCTATATGCCCCATTATTCTTTTAAAATGAGTTGGAATTGGTACAGTAGCGTGATGAAAGATGATTGTAAAGTCATGTTCTGAAGTGTAACTGCTGTTCAGGGAAATATTTGTGAAGTCAAATAAAATGAGTAATATTCCCTGTTCCGGAGGTAATTTTAAATAAAGATGTGATTAAAGGAAAACCATGTCATTAACAAATTGATTTAAAATGTGGTGAAAAAGAGTCTAAAGAGGAAATGAATGATATGCGCAGAGAAAGGGGTAAAAAGTAGTGTTCTGTATTTCTAAGTATTATATTTATATTGATTCGGGATGGGCTTTTGACCTATAAATATTGAAGAACAAAATGATAGAAGAGGGAGAAGAGGGGTTACAGTTTGGAAATAAAGATTTCGAGCCATAGTGATTCTTATTGTGTTTAATTGGGGGCAAATATTGCATCACAGTGTTGTCATAGCTGTAAAAATACATCTAGAATCCACTGGGGATAGGATTTAAGAAATGTTTGTATGGAAGAAAGACAATGTTGTATTTCTTCTGACGTAACAGGAAATTCAAAAACTCGCCAACACAGCAGTCTGGATATAAATTTACTATTTTATGACTTTGCTGCGGGTCACTGCCAGTAAAAAGAAAGACATGAACATTATAATGTTTATTTTTCCACTTTGTGATCTCATCATTTACAAAGTGTCAATTGGATTGGAGAGTTTTATTGATTCATTCATTATTTCCTTCCCAGATATTTTCATGTTTTTACATCATTTCTGTTTATTTTCTTCACTTTCTGTAAGGCGTTTGATGCCTGAAGCCTTCAGCATTCAGACCTAATATCTTCTAGGCAACGAGCTATAAGTGATATGTTTATAGCTTACTTAATCATAACCATCACCACTTTTCAGGAACTTTATTTTGCCTCGAGGACCTATTCCTCATTCATTTTATACCTTCTCTCCTTAATCGATGTGGAGTGTTTAATTCCCAATGTTACACTTTGTTCTTGAGACATAGACGTACATTAGCCAGCATCCTGGAGCTTAGCTGTACATGTGGATGAATTTAATTGCTGGCTAGAGGCTACAAGTTTACAGTTGAATATCGATATCAAAATTATGTTTTGCACGAACAAAAATGTCTCAGTCTCAGTCTGAAGATTTTGTTGTCATCTCATTTTTTGACACCACCCTTCCTTTTTCATCAATATAGAAGGTTCTCCCTTAACTGTCATCACCATTTGTTTGTCTTATTAAACTTTAGATGGGTAAATTTACATTTCAGATCATATATATTCTTTGCACCACTTGCATTTTCATGTACATTACATGTATATTTAGTGATGTAATAAACAACAGTAATTCCTTTATGTTAATGTATTCAGGTGATCAGCTTTCATCATATCCAACCATTTTGAAGTATTATATTTTCATGTATTTAATTTTATTTCTCCTTTCTCTTTGCAGCATACCTATTGCAGGAAGTGTGTGACATCAAGACAGTTTGGTGAGTTCCTCTTGTTTTAAGAATTGTGGTGAATGAATAAATGTATCAAATATGTTTAAATATTTGCACCTGTCGTTATCTTCTTGCTTCGGCGGTATATCCCTCCAATAATTTAATTGTTATAGTTTGATGTAGTTAACATTAAGAAATATGCAGTCAATTACTTTGTGAAAATTTTTATCAACATGACATTTATTTTCTTTGTAAATTACAGAGAAGTGCCCTGTAGATACCATGAAGCTAGCTGTAGTCGTGAACAACATCGCTGTGAACGAGCAAGTCGGAGAGTTGTTTATCCATTGCAAGTACGGCTGTAAACCAAGTCAAATCAACCTGGGTGATTATGAAGTAGATCCAGAGGGCTGCCCATTCACCATCAGGTTTAGTGAAAGAAAGTAAGTAGAATTCTTTTCATTGATGCTTAAACCCTCCTTTCATTTATCTATGAAACAAAGCAAACCCAGGCAATAAAATCACTTGTGTACTAATTACTTGTTTCAAATTAAAATATATTTGTTGGCATTTTTTTGTTTAATATTGGATTGTTGTTGCTTTGTCAAATTTGTAAAAGTTTTTTTTTTTTTTGACTGACAACTTTTTGAAGTCCATTTGTGAATCTTCTCTTGCTTTCTTTTCTACCTCTCCCTCATTTTCATTATCTAAAACATTTCTTTTCTCTCTATCCCCATTTTGAAGATTTCATCCATACAATATTCTGCACCTCATACTCCTCACATCCTTTCCCCACCTACATCCAGACTATCTTGAGCTCCAATGATATTCTCTCAATTTTACATCTCCCCGCAGTTTGGGATGTCCATACCACTGGATTTTCACCAGCTAGTAATGTATATTCCCTGTTTCCCTGCCCTCTCCCCAACTTCCTAACTCCCAGACTTCACCAAACCCCCTATGAACATCTTGTTTGTCTATAAGGGTCCCAACTCTCAGACTTTCAGCGTTTTGCCAGCTAATACCCTCTTCTCCCTATCTCCCCCACTTTATACTCTATCATCTCACTTTTCCATCTCTCCCCAAGTCTGGAAAAGTCCATATATATACTACCAGACGTAGGTCAACAAAGTCCCTTTCTCTCCTTTCCATCCCACACTTTCACCAACCAATATTAAGCTTAAGTTTCCACCCCTCCCCCCCCCCCCCCACCATTCAAAGAGGTTCATGCTACTTTTTGTTGTGAGCAACAGGAAATCTCTTCTCACACTCGCTGAGAAACCCCGAGTTTGAGACGTCTTAAACCGTGATTGATAGGGACTTCGTGCCTAGGAAATTGGTATTACCAAATCCTTCTAGATCTATTCTTGATTTTTCTGAATTTGTTTTATCCTCTTCCACTGCTCAAATCGTCTCGCGTGGGATTTAGCTCCGATGAAGTAAATATAGATGGGCTTGCAGACAGAGCTTCACATCAGTGGGGGGTATTATGAGGTGTCCCAGAGAAGACGGGGATTAAAATTCATTTTGAGTTTTGAAAAGAGTCGCATGGAAAATCTTTTTGTTGAGAAATGTATGCTAATTAATCTTTCCACATTAGTCTGAGGCTTTGGTTGATTTTCCCTGTTTTTGTATGAAAAAGATATTCATCTCTTTTCTGATACATAACCATATATTTATTAATGTTTTTCTGCCCTTTCTGTGTCTCTCTCTCTGCTCACTCCTCTCCCAAACAATCTATTTCACGCTTCATCTTTTTCCCCTCTTCATTTGTATTTCTATATTTTCGTTGATTTGAAATATTTGAAAAACTTTTTTCAAACTGTATGTACGGTATTTATATGTAAAAATTATAATGTTGACAAGTACATGTAAATCAATGAGTTTGGAATCGACACAACTGCCAATGGATATTTCAATATAGAATTTGACAGGAATTAATAAATGTGAAAACACTTATACAAGTTTCTACATCGTACAAAGGATGTTGGTAGTGATAAAATAAACGTATGTTCTTTTATACCACTTAATCAAAATAAATTTCTTTACCTGATGGGAGTCGAGAACAATTATCTCGATGATTAATTTCCATCAACTCCATGACTACCAAAGACCCTTCTGTCTTCAGTACGAGATTGCATGCTTATGAAAACAATACCGCCAACGCCCCTCCCTCTGACCTCGCTCGCTAGCTCAATCGGGGTGTGGTCCCACGCAACAAGCACCTCCTAAGCCCACATGTTCCCGCATGTGCTGCGTTGATTCCGATTCCGTTATCTCCCGTTACGAATGCCTCGTATATTTTGGGTTGAGTTTTGTTTTCATCATGTTGCTGTTGTTTCCCCTTCTCTTGTCCACAGAGAGCATGAGTCACAGTGTGGCTATGCCACCGTTCGCTGCCCCAATAATCCGGATTGTCCGCTCGTGCTAAAGATGGTAAGATCTAAACCCATACGGCCCCTCCCTCCTTGGTATTAGCCTTGTAGTCTATTGACCCTGATTTCAAAAGAGCACTGCTTGAAGCTGCTCCAGTAGTTGATAGACGTACACACTTCCATTAAACCTCAACATGTCGTAAAGTTTTATAAGAGTTGCTAGAGAGAGAGTCATTACCAAGTCGATGTCAGTCAATTCTCAGGATGGATTACTTTTATTATGTAAGTTCTATATGGTTACCTTCTTCCTTTTATAGTTCATATGATGTGACCTTTTGCATGTGAGCATTTTAAGAAAAAAAATCTGCCATCTGGATGGAGGGAGGGGGGGGGGAGAAAAAGATGAATAGGAACGTAAAAGTAGAAATTAATATTTAAAAAGCATTAATTAAAAAAGGGATGAAGAGAATGAGTCCAAATTTGACATTAACAGGAGGATGCCAGCCATTACCATTAAACATTGTACATGTGATGAAGAATAACCATTATGATAGTACATTCCAGTACATACAGTATGTGTACTTTTAATACTTCTATATCTTTCTTGTCTTTTGTTTCTGTAGAATCTGGAGTCACACCTAGTGAATTGCAACCTCTGTAAATGTGATCATCAGCGGTATGGCTGCCACTTTGTAGGCACGCAGGAGCAGGTAAGCTATACAAGGATGGGACATTCTCCCCTTTAACATTTCCTCCAGGCCTGATTCCATCAAAGATACGGGGTTAAGGTTAGGATTAGGATTTGGGTTGGGGTTAGGTTTAAGATTTGATGTAGGTCAGAGGTAACATGTACACTCCAAGTTCAGGGATAAGTTTAGGTTTAGTCATATTGTCAGGTCCAGGGTTGAAATTGGCTTCAAGATTCGACGGCCATATAGGTGGCTACCACAACCATTTAACGGTACATTTTCAACAGTGTTCAAGAGAACTGGATGAAGGATATTTTTCATGCCATTTTCATTAGCCTTCTTGTTAATTCCACCTTCAGAAATCATTCCTTCTGTCTCTTTATCTGAATGATCACACATTTGGGAACTAAAACAATTAAAGATACACATTCTTGTAATATACATGTAGTGGTTCACATAATTTCCTAAAAAAGTTGACAGTTTATATATTTCCACATCTTCGTTTTATCTCTTTGGATGTAGAATTTGTTGAAGATTTAAGTTTGCTTTACTCCACCTTCATCAATCACTCTTTGTACATGTATCTTACCTTGTGTATTTCCATTTAAATGGCAACACAATTTGAATGACGTGTAGATGGTAGAGTAAGCTGAATTGCCTGATGGATTGCATATTGTGCAGTTCCTCCATCTTTCCCCTTTCATCATTCATTCATTCCTTCTGTCTATTCCATTGAATAACCCTGCAGGTGGAAGCACACCTATCGCAGGGTCAGTGCGCCTACGACAGTATCAAGGACTTCCTCTCTGCCTCGGACGATAAGATCCGCGAGCTCCAGATGACCATCCACCAGAAGGACCAGGAGATTGGGTTCCTGCGCTCCATGCTGGGAAAGCTCTCGGAGAGGGTGGACCGGCTCGAGAAGTCCATGGAGATGAAAATAAGTGAGTGTGTGCATGTGGTGGTGGTGGTTATTTTACCTGACTGCTAAGAAAGCATTAATGCTTGTAAGTAAGCAACCAGAGGACCGATGGCTTTAGGTCCTCTCTGAGGGACCTGGTAATGAGGATTAATGCCTTACCAAAGGGCACTAGCGCATCATCTTGGTTTCGAACCCGGGGTGCAGGATTACGAGACCACTGCTCAACCAACTGAGCTAATGCGCCTTCAGAGAAGTCCAAGGAGATGAAAAGTGTGTATGGAGTGTGTGTATGTTTCCAGGCTAGAATGGGACAGATTGGTTTTCTGCACTCCTCCACGTTGGGCATGCACTCCATTTTCAGGACAAGCGGCCCATCAGGATTATTGGGGCAGCAAACATTTTGTAACTGCCCAGCTATGCAACTAGATTTATAGAGTACCTGCCCAGTCACTTATTTCTTCTACCCAATTTTATAAATGAAAAATTTTGGGCTGGGATACCCTCCTGGCTCCTTGAGGCAACTGGAATTTCAATTTTGATTGCTTTTTAATTTACTTTAGTAAAATGAGGTTCGTCTTTGTTGGTATTTATTTTTCATATACATAAAAGGATGATAGTGTATAGAATTTTGTCTTAGTCAGATTTTATTCCTAATTTCTATTAAAAAATGCAAATCATGATATTTGTACACTCAGTGTTCTCTCTCGAGGTCAGTGTTCATGTTGCTAGTGACACATCATCAATCCAGCAACCATCTTTCCAAAAACTGATAAACAAAAGCAACCAATAATCCCTCCTACGATTATCTTATTTCTTTGTATTAATTTTGAAGGAGGAGAAGAAAAAAAAGAGAGAACATTTTTGCATTGTCATGATTATTACAAGGTTTCTTCATAACTAAATGGCCAAGTCTTTCTTAGCTTGTAAAGTGAGTCATGATGATAAAGGTAGGCCTGATGAAGAAGAATTAAAGGCTTCATTACAGAAGAAACCCTATTGTCTTTTCAAGGTGTTTAGGTTTTTTCTCTTCCAAAGTGTCAATTTCTAACCTCTTTTGCCAGTCCATCATTTAAAAGCTCTGACGTGTTGATCCCAAGATGGTAAACAGTGAGAAGAGATAGTTTGTTCTTTTTCTAAAGTTTTCATTTTAGAAAGGGAAAATAAAATTGGAACAATTAAAAAGTATTTCAATAAGGAAGAAATTATTATGATGATTGAAATAAAGAACGACAAATACTACACAGTTTTAGGAACATGAAGTGAATGATTTTTTTTTCTTCCCCCAGGATTTCTTTATGCTTTCATTCTTGGCTTGAATGTCACATTTACCTTTAGAATTTTCCAATGACTTTAATTATTCAGCCTTTATAAACTTGGTTTGATTTGTGGTATCTCAGCAGAAAAGCAGTTTTATCCAAATCAAGTTGGTTCTTACATGTAAAGACCATCTTCTGACTTTGTTATTATCATTGCTAGTAAGAACATGGTTGTAAAAAAAAAAAATTATCAGTGCTTGAAATATCGTATCTTCCTCGTGTCATTTTTGTGTTGGGGTGGAGAAAAATGTGCACACAAAGTTCTTTCCAGTTCATGAAAAGTCAACTCATTCTCCTATGTCGAAATTTACTTCTTCTGGATGTTTTTCACCTCACGGTGTGATATATTCTCGCGATAAATACGTCAGCACTGGAAGCATCTCCCCGCTGTCAGTCATTGCACTTTCTGTGCCAGCGTTTCTCTCGGAGGGAGCGCAATTCAGGAAACGGGTTATCAACTCGCTAAATCGCCCATCAAGGTAGAATCCCTGATCCGTGCCAAGTATCGTAGACCTGAGGCAGGCAGGCAGCGCTCCTGACAATGGCTTTCACCTGCGTGATCACGTCAGGGGTCGTTGGAAGTGGGACTGCTTTGAGGCGAGAAGGTCGCTTCTCCTCATTTTAAGGATAAAGGGGTTTGAGGCCAATGTTAGACTAGTCGGTAGAGGAGAGAGAAGAGAGAGAGAGAATAGTTGTGCCTAAGACCATGAAGATGAAAGTACATGTAATCAAAAAAGGGGAAAATATAACAAAAAATTAAAAGCAAAAAATAATATTTTCAAAGGATCGTAACTTTTTGTACTGTTAATATGAATTGTTATTAACTGCAAACGAAAAGCACAAACTCAGGCAATGACTTTGAAGAATCAGTAATTTTAAACAGAGATTTTCCTTATGTTTTACCATGTAGCTAAAAGAAAAGTATTTGAACTACAATAACTGCAAAAAAAAAGAAAAAGAAAAAATAACTTAAAACCAATACAGAACAGAAGTATGGACTTGAGATCTTATTGCACTGAAGCTTTTGATTTCGATTAGCAATTTCCTTGCCACAATAGTCTTAATTGGAGTCCAGTCGGAGCCCTATAGAGCCATATAGTCTAGTGACGTTGTTTGAGTGTGTGGGAGGGGGAGGGGCATACAGTGTATTTCTAATGCCTGCTATTTCATGGAAATTGACAAAGGGAGAAATATTTCCACAAGGCTAATCTGTAATACAAATTGAATTTGATTTGATGGACATTGTTGTCTTACATGTATGAGTGATTCTCTTGTCTCGATTGATAAAGAATATCAGTTGGGTGCAGGTGGGATTTGATGATTGAGTCATGATGAGGAATGTTTTGTTCTGGAACTAAGAAGCTTCCATGGAAAAGGTTCAATCGGTGATATTCTTCAGATTAAACTTTTTTTATTTCAACACTGGTCAAATTTAAAGGTATGGGGGCAGATTCAGGAGGAACTTTGATTGATATTTTGTTGTAATCTGCTCTGTGAATTTTTTATTTCAAAGTCTGAAAAGAAAATTGGAAGGATCTTAACCTGTTAAAGGAGTCAGCAAAATATCCTTGACATGAAATTGAGTCAATATCGCATTAGGAGTTTTTCTTTGAAATGCATGGTGATGTTCTAGCCATGAATACACACTTGGTGAACGTCTTATGACGTTGTTTACGAGGAAAGATCAAGAAATGGAGATTAGGTTGCATTAGAGGACCGGATCTAAAATAGTGGAGTGGGCGTGTATTTTTTAGTCAGAAATCAGGTGGTTTTACTTTGTTTTTGGAGCTTAGGTGTATCACTTTGTAACTCCACGCAGGTAAGATTGTCGTCATTCCATTGTGAGCTTTGCGTGGGTGTTTATTGTTACGTTTGGGGAACACCTGTCTCGTCTTTTAGTTGAGAACGCATCATAGATTGACCTCATGAAGTATGTTTGCCCCTATTTCACAAGGTACATGTTTGAGCATGACAGCTGCATTCTACGGTGAAAGTCCTGAAGCCAAACGTCACACTTTGTAGTACGTGGCCTCTGCTGGATATGCTTGTCGGATACTACAGAATGAAAAGGACTCGCCGTGCCTGTTTGATTTTAAAAGCAAAATCTAATTGTAAATATTTTAATGCAGAAAAATAAAAGGATATTTCACAATTCTTGGGAAATATCCACTTTAGGATTTCTTCACAATAATGGAGAAAGAGTTGAATTGCTTATCAATAAGTCTAGCAGATTTTTTTGTATTTATCCATTTGATTTGGTGGGGGCTTATTCTTTCTGACCTGATAAATGTATTTTTAAAGGAAGAAACTAATATATTCATTTCATGTACACGTACATAGTCACTTATACACAGAAATACAAGAGATATATGCTACATTTTATAAATGTTTGCCAGGACTTTGTCAAGTAATGAGTTTATTTGACTTTAGAAGATAGTTATTATGCATTAAAATATGCGCATCCTATCCCTATAATCATTAATGTAGTTGTGAACTATGAAATAAAAAATGTACATGTATTGGGAGATAGAGGTATCACAAAAAAGTTGCACTATTGCTTTCCTGATTCTCATATGCATGTTTTATACATGTAGAAGTACTTCTCATACAGATCAACACATGATAGTGAATCACTTTGTTAGATAAGTGATTAGTATTACTGGTATGCTTAATTTTCCACGAGACAAGGTTCAACATTGATAATTAAATCTGGGATTCATCATGAGGGACAACTTAGGGTTTTCCTTTATATTTGTGAAAATTAGAAATAAAAACTATATAATTTTGAGGTAACGTTACCGGCCTGAAATACGACCCAGCTGAAGAGGAAACTTGCATTTACGAAACAGAGTCGCAGATTACACGTTTCAAATCTAGATTAGCAACATGACAATCAATTCTGTCACGAATTGACTACTTAATCACGAAAGCTTTGGAGTTTGAGACAATACCAACAATATGAGATGAGCTTTGTTGCTGCAAACACACACAAAAAAAGTATGATTAAGTGATGCAATTGTCACTAGGCTCGTCTTCCAATTTGGAGATTAATTGTCTGATTCTGTTTAATCGTGAGTGAGCACGACATTTGGGACGGGAATCAGGATGAGGTAATGCCATAGAGTATAATACTCCCTGTCATCTGGTATTCTCATACGTTGCTTACAATATTTCTTTTATACAGTGGGCTTACGGTTGCACCATGTGAGAGAGAGGGGGAAGGATATTCTTTTGTTCTCTTTTAGAAATGTTGAAATGATTCAGTGTTAGCAGATTCAGCTCCTGATTCATATATATTTCTTTTGTATTTTATGATTATCATTCCTCTAACTGCTGTCTTTTTATCTTTCTCTTATATCTTATATCTATAGTGATTGTATCATTGCTTTTCTGTTTCTCTTGAGCTCTTGATAATTCTTTGAGAAATAGAAATGTTACATATCTACCCAGAGGGTTTTTCTACTGTACCCCTAAGTTATGTATATTATTTCCCTCCCTTTTCCCATTTATTCTCTCTCATTCTCTTCTTCTGCTCTTCTCACAGGGTTTCACAACCTTTCACACCTTCTCCAAAGCTCTCTTCTCCCTCCCCATCTCCCTCTTCACCCCAACTTGCTCTTCCTTCCTTCATTCTTTCCTATTACCTTCCCTCTATCTCCTTGCCCCTCCCCCAATCTCTCTCTCTCTCTCTCTCTCTCTTTCTCTC